TTTTAAATATAACTTTCAAATATATAATTAGTTTTTCTCCTTAATTTTGTAATATGATATATTCTATTAGGGAAACATGTCCTCCGAACGCGATAAGAATATATAACTCATACTTGAGCTCATACTTATGCTCCCGAGAAATACGTCTATCGTTATCCACACAATATCGAGGTTATTTCAATTAAATCGGATCGTTCATCGTTGCGCCGGCAATGCCTCTGAATTTCTTGCGTCGTTGGAAATGGAGCCGTCAATTTACGCGAATTCTCGCCGACAAAGAGAAAGCAATAACATATCTAATCCCGCTAATAACGGCGCGGCGAGTATTCCGCGAGGCAGCCGTAATTTCAGTTTATTAACGGCGCAATTAGCGTTATTTACCACCGTGGGAATGCCGAATGGCGAGCTTATCGTCCGCGAAACGCCGAGCGTGAAAGAAATCGGGAAAGTGGCGCTTAACTCGCAGCTAATTACGGTGGCACGTAATATCTCCGTCTCCACGGCAACAACATCAGCGCTGCGCAAATTTCGAAGAACCACGATAAGACGATTTACGGCTCGCCGATAATTCATATTCTAATCATCGTGCGATTCGTGCCATGCGCCATCGTGCTACTCTTTCTCTCTCATCCTGCTTCCCCCGGCTAAGATAAATTTATGCTCGTTCGATTCGTCGGCCTACGGCACGCGAGATAAATGGCTGGCAATCGTAAATCCGTATCGCATTTATCCACGATAGCAGCGCAACGTTTACATTTGAGTATCGTGCGGCCCCAGGGTTGAAATTTCCCGTGAGAGGAGATGTTCCGTGTCGCGAGTATCTGAATCGCGAGGTCAGCTTCGTTAGATCGGCTTGACACTCAAAATTAATTTTCAATCGATATTGAGAGAATTGATATTCCCGCAAAATATATACTCCAAATTGATATTCCAAAAGATATTCAACTTGATATTCCAATCGTACTTGTTAAACATTGTCTGTTGAGCGATCATCAACTCCGTGGTGTTCATGCAACCTTCAATCGAAACCGGTAGCTTCGGCGCAGGTGGCTTCGGCTGGCCGAAAACCGCCCACAAGCAGATACACAAGGCGGTAATTAGGCCGATACAAGTTCCCGGTTCGTTAGCAGTCTCGCTGAACATCCCAAGTGTGAAAATGCCCAGAATCGGGCCGCCGATTGCTCCGGCGAAACTCAAAGCGACGACGACCAACCCACCCATCGTCCTCGCCAGTAGAGCTAACAGCAGGCATAGCACACCATTCAAGAAGGTGAGACTCTTAGCCGTGAAGATGGCCTTCTTTTCACTAAAGTCCACTCCTAATTTCCGATGCAACGGTTTCACGTAATCCTCCAGCGCTACCGCGGCCAACGAGTTCATCATCGCGGAGATCGTGCTTAGGCTGGCGCTGAAGATGCCGGATACTATCAGACCGATCACTCCGGGAGCCATTCTCTCCGCTGTGAAGTGTGTCACTATCTTGTCGTATGTTGAGATTTTCCCAGACGCCACCGGGTCACAGTCTCTGTAGACCGCGTAAAGCGACAATCCGGCGAAGCACGTTAGACCGCCCAATAGTATGACAAAAGGACCACTCAACGCCATAGCGCGCCCGGCCACCTTCACGTCCCTGAATGTACGGAAAGTGATCAGCGGTGTGACGTGAGTGACAAAACAGAGGCTTCCTCAAATCTACGTACCTAACGGCCATTAAACGTTGAACCTGCACCTGATTTACTGCGAAAAAGGACAGGCCTATTGCCATCCCGCCAATCAAAAGATTCCACCATGTGTATCGCACAGTTGGATCGAAACTCCAGCTAAATGTACATCCAAATCTCATTAATGCTCCTGCTATAATTTTACCACGCAATTTGATAAATATCTTATTGCAACGACATCAAGCGTTCTCTATAAATTTCTCAGAGTGGGACCCCATTCGAAACGAGTGGAAAGTACACACTGAAAAATATAATTCCACTGTTAAGTGAAACATTTACTCAGTTTACTCTCATTTTTGTTTTATTTTAATGTTCTTAATTGAAATGCACTCGAAATCGCAAGAATAAATGTTTCACTCAAACTTAGAATGGATTTTGACAAAAGCCTCCACAAGAGCTAATGATTCAATCGATGGAGTATGTCAGATCTACTCTTCAACTTCGAGTTCAAATATTTATTCGACACGATTCAAAGTGAAAAATTCACTCTATACAAATAAAAAATTACTCCAATTCGAGAGATTTATAAATAAACCTACCCAAAAGATACACTGCGATTTCTTTCTAATTTGACACAAATGTAGAAGTACAAAAAATATTTAGATCATATTTTTTCATTTTAGTCCATTTTGAGTTTCACGAGCAGTTTATAGTTTTTAATGTTCTCACTCCTATCATCAACAAGTACAACAAAAATGCATAAGAAATAAAATTGAATAAAACACATAGGCGTTTTTGGTTTGCTGATTATAAATATGAAGTCAAATATATAAAATTATTTGTATAAATAATAAAATGTTTAAACAAAACATGTAAAAAGTTGAAAAAAATTATTTATACAAATAATTTCTCGGTTTGGCCGAGATTCGAACCATTTTTTATTAATTTAGCACAGATTTGAAATATTTCGGATGGAATCTCGGCTAAAGAAATTTAGAATGGTTTGTCTCTCAGCTATGCCGTTTTTGATAAAATTTTAATTAAAATTGCCGAATCTCTCTCTCTTA